ATGTATATGAAACGGAACGCATTTGTGTCTGCATTGAAAAACACAAGTTTGGATCCGGAAATACAAGTGTGAATCCTTTTGCGGATCATGAAATACAAGTTTGAATCCTTCTGTGTGCATGTGTGTATTATGAGACTGTTCTGAGCCCATAGTTATCAGCCTGCACAGGGAGGAGAAATCAGCAGAGCTGCCTGCAGTGTGTGTGTGTGTGCCCGTGTGTGTGCGCGTGTGCGAGGAAGTCCGTGGATTGGCCAATTTGGACCAATCAGCGGGGGCTTAACGTAACGGATACGTCCATTTGGGTCCGGGTACCGCATGACGTACCTGGATGAAACATTGGACAATGACGTATCAGTGACGAATCTCCAACGACGCGTTTTGGGGAGGTATTTTCTGTGTTAGAGTTTTACTCGCTACAGGGTGTACTTTGAGGGTTTTGACTCTGCACACCGTTTACATGCATAAAAACCTTCATAACACGCAAGGGGACGGGTAACAACTGGAAAAGCATGACATGGGCCCTTTTAAACTCAATTAAAACTGTCTAGTTTTACATTTCACAGTATTTTTCAGTAGTGTCATTATTGTAGTTACAATTAAAACACATTTCATTGGGCTATAAGGCAATGTACCTTATCACTCTGTTTTGTCAGCAACACTGACCAAATATTTGGGGTGATAAATGATTTATACTTCAACAAGATTCATTTTTAAAGATTGTTTTATGTGGTTTCATCCAGGTTGTACAGTAGGTTTGTAGGTGAATGAAATTTCATGTGTGGCACTTACAGCATTGAGTTCTTTAATGTTTGTGACAATTAAAGAGGATTTCATTCCCATTTTCCATTTATAAGAGATATTTCTCAATTTGTATACAATATCAATAGAAGGCTGTCGCTGTGTTGTTATTTATTACTTTCTGGCATGATGTTGCACATTTCTGCTTCACAACCTTGTTGTGTGTGGCCCTCAGGAGGTTAACCTCGACACAGAAAAGGCGTGGAGGTAGAGCTCTGTAGATTGAAGCTTTGTGATTTCAGGAGTTATCATAATTGACCACCTCGGACTGCCAAGCTGAAGCTCTGGGAGTCTGCTGGCATGAACCCAAGTGCAACATCTGAGTATGTGTGTGTGTGATGCAGATATGGCTCACCGCTGATTATATTTGTCTTCTTTTTGTTTTCCAGAATGCGGGAGAGGGACCTACAGAGCGTGTGCAGAAGGGCCCTGCTGCTGACCGTCTGTATGGTGTCTCTGTGGGGACTGGCATCGTCACACAGAAGCCACATAGGTACAAAACTGCATGTGTTCGTCTTTGTTGTTTTCCATGTCGCCCATAACAACCAAAGTCTGCTACTAACAGCTTGACTGGGGAAGCATAGGATTAAAGACAAGTACTGCTGTAATTGTATTCACTCTTATTGTCCCCATTTACAGTCATTGCCTATGAAAAGTCTAAAAGGAATAAGCATGTATTTAGCAAAAACAATGGCAGCTTTTGACTTCCAGGGAAGCAGGAGCATCCAACTGTGGCAAATACACCAGCAGGAAGAACAACAAATACATGATAGAATTATACACTGGCATTATCCTGTTAGTGTCTTCCTGAATAGACTTTAATGACTTTAAATTGTTGAGGGAAGACAGAGCATTACTCATTGATTGTCCCTGCATACCTACATTTATGTATGCATTCATTTTTCAAGGGATTTAAAACCTCTCAGTCTTGTACCCATTGAAGCAAATTTCCTCTTTCTATTTACTGCTTTCACAGAGGGATTTATTAAAACAATCTGGGAAAGAGCTCCTAAAAATAGAATTATGTTTTTTATAGCCTTTTTTTTTACTTGAACAATAAATCCTCACAATAAGACAGTACACTGAAAATACTTTAACTTGAATTAAATGTATTATGGCAACAGATTTCACCTAACTGCATTAAGTTAGTTGAAAGCAATACTATTAAGGTTAAATAAAAATATTATGATGAACTTCATATTATTGCTTTCAACTAACCGAACACAGTTATGGAAATGTATGACTTAATACATCGTAAGATGCATCCTAAAAAGTATAATACAGCTCATAGTGTATCAGTTAATCGTCACACAGTCGTAGGATGATTCTGGTGGGTGATATTTCTCTCACTGACCTGAGTAAACAATTCTTTACAGCCCAGGTCAGGCGCATATGTAGTCGGCAGTTCACCTCACTGACTCTTTCAAAAGAAACGGATATAATGAGCCGAGCTTTCTTGGTTTCTCTGCTCAGCAGCGAAACACAGATTTACTGTATGGTTGCGTTTTTGTGCAGTCGTGCAATCTCAAGCATCACAAGGAGAAAAAAAAGAAATACCAGTACAGTAAGTGTGTGCATGCATCTGTGTGTGTGTTTGTGTGTGGAGGGCAGGGGACAAGACCTTTCAAAGTGATTTCCCTTAAAGGAGAGATGGTCCGATCCCTGGGCGTATCGGTAGAAACTGTGACCACACATTGAAATAATGAGCCTTATTCCTCTGGAGGATAAACAGCAACCAATGGCTGCAGGCGAACAGCTCCATGTTGGCAGAAAACAACATGACCAGCCAAATACTCTTGATAGGGCATCAGCATCCAGGGCTGTGGCAAGGTAAGCTGCACAGGGAAGGAATGCATAATATATGAAGTGAGTTGCATCATAGCATGTGCCTCGTCAAGGTGTATTTCAAATCCACTCCAAGACAGAAGAAGAAAAGCTGTGACGGTAGAATTAACTCTCTGTCAGCTTAATGTTTGACTTCTCCAGCTGCAGAATAATTTTACTATGTATTAGCTTCATTTCATATTCACCTGCAGAGACTTCAGGAAATGGCAGGTTTTTATAAATGAGTTAGGGTATATATTTAAGTGATAAGTTATTGTTATTTTGTATTGATTTGCTTACAAATCCATACTATAAATACTGTAGAAAGATTACACTCCGTGCTTACATTTCACACACTTGAGAAATGAATGTACTCTATTTTACTCTACAAGAAAATATGCTCTGAGAGTGGGAGGAACTTTGGGATTTTAGTCAGGAACGGAAAACCCCCCAAAAAGCATAATAGGGCCCCTTTAAATGGCAGATTTGGAAGGTTAACATCAGGAGGTTGTCTGTGTGTGTGCGTGTTACATGCTCAGTAGCAAAAGTGAAGACACCGGAAGTACAATATGAGAGATGACCCCAACCGCCTCCAAAACCTTTGAAATTAGGAAATCGAATTTTGAGTCAGGCCTTGTCATCCAAAATCATCAATCAAACTTCGCTCCTGTTGTTGTGCTGCAGCTCCAAAATCACGCGTTCTCAGAAGATAAGAGGGTGCTAAAGCAGCGTGAACGGTTTGGTTTGAGGTCATTTACAGGCAATCACATGTTTTTCTCCCCCTCTCATGTGATACTCTAATCAATTCCTTCAATATTTATTGAATATACTTGATGATTGTATACTAAAAGTGGAGTAGTGTGTTGGATAAACAATTTAATCTCCGGGCTTACTTTGCTGTCTCTTTGGTTTTGCATTCGTCCCGCTCTTGTGGTTTGTGCGCTTATTCCTGTGATTTATTAGGAGGCAGTGAGAGGGGGCCCGGCCCCGCTCCCCCCGGGCTGCACTGACACTTAGGTAATCACGCAGCCTGTCCCTGGGCTACGGAGGTCAAGTCAAGGTGGGCCCAGTAAACAAACCTCTTTAGCCCTACTGCTTATTGAGGTGGGGGCTTTGCCAAAGCAATTGAACCTTTCACCACAGCCTGACTGGAGCATGCTGAGCTCAGTGCGCGCACACATAACCCCTGTAATAAGACCACTGCATCCCCCAGAGCACCATCTGCATTCATTAGCTAGTCATGAAAGAGTGGAGAGGGAGAAGAAGGGTGAGAGGAGAGCAGTCTGGAAAGGGAGCGAGCATGATAACAAGTACCCTTCGGCTGTGCAATTTGTTTCGCTCCTGTCGATAGGATTTAGACTGATGATGTGACCAGGTCATACAGCGGCCTCGTTATTCAGCTATTTGGAAACTAGGATACTTATTTTCTCAACAGTAGCTCACTCTGTCTCTTTTGAAATAACCCAAATCAAGCTCTCTGTGGTTTGTTGTCCAGTGTCCGCGAGGGCAAACACTGAAATGTGGTAGAGAGGAAAACAGGCGCGAAAAACACATTCCTCGCCGAGGCTTGGTGATGCATCATGGCAGCAGCTCCCTCTTTGAGATCAAAACGCTTTAAGCTGTGCCGTTTACAGGTCGTAAACTCTGTTGCATTTTTTAAATATTAGGGATTAAGCCACACGGGTCATGGATAGCTTTACAAAATGACTTTGGAGCTAAGGTTTACGTTGGGGTTTAAATCAAGGTCCTGTTCTATATTCACATGCACACAAGGGGTAGTGCTGCCCTATTAATAAGATGAAAACGGCTCTGGCTCTCATTTGAATTCAGGAATATGTCCATATTTGCTTATGTTAGAGACATTTTAAAAACTGTGTGATGCACTCTAATGGCTCATTCTCAAGCTGATTTCAAAGCTTTTTGTATTCTATGCAAGATCATTTTCAGTGTTTCATATTAAGAACAAACTGATTCTCTGGAGCCAACATTAATCCAACCTCAACTTTTTCATTTTCTTCCCTACGCAATAACATTATTTTCTCTCATCACTGTCCCAGTCAAATAACTATTTTGGAAAAGGTTTATTAAGATGAGTCACATTAAAAAAGATTGTACGTTTTAATATTCTAACTAGATCAATTAGAATAGTTTCCCTGTGGCTGCCTGAAGGGGGGACGCCTGCGAAGAGAGCCTTTCATGCTTGATGGGTCTTGATGAAAACCAGACTGCCGCAGAGTTCTTTCTTTAGTGTCAAAAGAATGAGGTTATTTTAGTTATTCAAAGCAATATAGCAATAATAGTAACAGTCAAACTTTGGATAGCTTTGGGGCAGATTAAGTCATTGTGTTTTGAACAATGGAGCAAATATTAAATGTGAAATTGCAGAATAACTGCAAAAATAAGTTTATCTTAATACTGCATGGTTATAAAGTTCCCATGTCATGGCCATTTCTACTGATCATATTTCCATTGTTGAGGTCTACTAGAATAGATTTAAATTGTGCAATTTTCCAAAATCACATGGTGTCTCATACAGCATGTCTGTAAAGTATGTGTATTCACTCTCTGTCCTAAACGGCTTGTTGGAGCTCCTGCCCCCCACCCCCCCCCCCCTCCCTGTGAGCCCAGTGTGCTCTGATTGGTCGGGACGTTGCGAGGCTCGTTGCTGTGATCTGCTGCGAGGAGCGGACAGGCTTCCGGGTCGGCGATACAGCGAGAACAAGTGAAACTCATCCTGAGCACACACACAAACACTCACAGCCGAAATAAAAACAATAAGTGTGGCTTGATATTGAGTAAGAAAAAGGTTTATAACGCTGTGAGAATAGGTCTGCGGAGAGCATTTCTCCGCGATCCCAACTCGTCTATTACCAGCGTTCAGGGAGCTCTATGCAAGTCAATGGGGACTCCCTGTTAGTTAGCCAAAGGATCCTGGTGTGTGAGGTGCTCCGCGGATTGGTCCATTTGGGCCAATCCGGTCATTTGTTATTTGTTGTTGATTTGGGTGTTCACACGTCACTATACCCAGGAAAAAACAATGGAAAATGAGAAATCTCCAACAAGGCGTTCTGGGGCAGCATAGACATGGGGCATCTTTTCTGTGTTAGAGTTTTACTCGCTACAGGGTGTGCTTTGAGGATTTGTGACTCTGCAGACCGTTTACATGCATAAAACCTTCATAACACACAAGGGGAAGGTTTTATGCATGTAAACGGTCTGCAGAGTCACAAATCCTCAAAGCACACCCTGTAGCGAGTAAAACTCTAACACAGAAAANATCATCAAGTGGCGCCGAATGCTGGGCATTTAACATGTATTTAAACAGTTCTTCGGCGCCACTCGATGTCGTAGTATACTTGAAATAGTGGCTCTGCAGCAGGTTTACTCGACATTGAGAAACGGCCAACCAGTGAAACGGCCACCGTCCTCGTCCGATCCTCCACTCGCACTCCATCTTTATTGTAGTCCGCAGGGAACCCTGTTGTTCCCACACAGCTGATTTAAAAGAAGCAGGTGGTTCTTCTACAGTAGCTCATGTGTGTTATCTGAAATCGCAATACTAATGTTTCTTCTTCTTTAATTTTGTACGTTTTGTTCATGGATGTATAATAAGAACTGGATACAGCGTGGGAGGCGGGGTCTTGTACTTTCCTATGAGAGCTGCTCATT